TTTCCGTCCCCCGCCTGCCTTCCAGCCCTCCAGCCTTCCAACCGTCCAGCCTTCCAGCCTAGCTTCCAGCCCTCCAACCTTCCAGTCCAGGCCTCCAGCCTTCCAGCCTTCCAGCCCTCCAGCCTTCCAGCCTTCCAGCCCTCCAGCCCTCCCGCCTTCCAGCCCTCCAGCCTTCCAGCCTTCCAGCCTTCCAGCCCTCCAGCCTTCCAGCCCCTTCCAGCCCTCCAGCCTTCCAGCCCTCCAGCTGCAAGGGGCTGGAGGGCTGGGAAGGCTGGAGGCGCTGGAGGGCTGGAAGGCTGGAGGGCTGGAAGGCTGGAAGGCTGGAAGGCTGGAGGGCTGGAAGGCTGGAGGGCTGGAAGGTTGGAGGGCTTGGAGTGAAGGGGGCAGTGGATATTTAAACTTCCGGATTTAAACAGGTCCTTTACACTACGTCTGGCATCCTTGGGCCTGGGCCGCCCTCCACATATTTAAGCGTCACCGTGCAATCTCGTGGACGCTGTGCTGGTGACACGACGTCTGAGCTCTTGGTCTCAGCGTCGCTTCTGGAGCATCTGCTCCAGGAACTCCTGAACTCCTCAAAGCTTTTGCAACCTTAACCGCCTTAACCGCATAAGGACAATCGCAGCGGCTCAACAGCAGGCAGGCGGATCTCTGTCCACACGGGCATGGCATCAAAAGGCTGTAGAATTTGATGTTCGCATGCCGTTGCCTTATATTTATCTTGCGTGACTTTCGCCCCTTGTCTTCTTCTTGCTAGCTTGAGCTCGGGGAAGCCTGTGCTGGGAGGTGTCAATGCTTTCCCTGCCCAGCCCAGCATTCCATCTCTGCGCGTGTGCGTGGCTTTTTGGGGTGCAAGGCGGCTTGATGAAGGCACTGGGGCACCAGGCTGCGGTAAGTCACTAAGCTGCAGCCTGTTGTGGCTACAGGCTAGATCCCAAGGCCGTACAGAGCGAATAAAGGAGCTTCGTTCTAGACGTCCGAGACAGCTTCCTTGTCCATGCAGCCTGGCTCTCCATCCTTGGGCCAAAAACTTCGACTGAGAAGTCTGAGACATGGTACGACTTCAGCCAACAAGAGCTCTGGTGAGATCCTCGCTGCCATGAGTGAGACTCTGGCCGCGGCGGCTCTCGCCGACATGTGTTTCCCCTCCCGTCCCTGAGGTGCAAGGCAGAAAGAACCCTTTCCAACACAGCCTGAGCGCGGGAAGACTGCGCATCTTCGCCGCGCCGGAAGAGGCCTCGCTTAAAAATCAGACGCCCTCGGCTCGGCGCCCTCTTGGCGTGAGCACATGGGAGCCACGGGCTGATGAAGCAACGGGGCGCCTTCCAAACTCGACGTCTTTGTAGGGTAGCTGCTGGCACTAACGGGACCTCTTGTGTGGAAGATGTCAGATGCCCCAGGTGGAAAAATCAGAGGTCCGAAGCTCTCAGCTCTCCTTCACGCCGGCCTGGGCTTCGCAGGGGGCCGTGTCGGCTCGGATTTAGGGACTTCAGGGAGACTCTCGCAGGGCAGGCGTGGCTCCACACGACTTCCCGGACGGGTTTTGGGTCGTGGTCCGAAGAAAGTACAAACCTCCGAAAGCAACTTCCTCGTACATGTCAGCACGACGCCATCTACGCAATGCATGGCCCGGAACCTGAATGCCATGCATGGATGGTAGTGCACACGGTGATGGTCAGGATGATCACCGGAATCAGTATCATCATCCTTGCATCACCATCACTGTCATCAGTTAAAGCCGTCTGGCATCCAAACTTGCCTGTGGCATACTCGGTGCCCATCTCGATAAACTGCCGCGTGAACGAAAAGCCCGAACGTCCGGAGAGTAATGTAGAGTTAGGGCCGGAAAAACATGGCTGCAAACAGTAGCACTGTGAAGAGAAAACAGGATCTGCCGTCAAACCATGAGGAGTTAGATGTGCATTTCTTGAGGACGACGGCTGAAACCAAGCTGAGGCACGTGGGCTGCTTTGCGTCCACTTTGATGAAGTCGACCACCTACAGCGGCAGGCTTGAGGGGGGCTCCTGAATCCCCGCTAAAGCCCAGAAACCTGTCGAGGCAAGAAGCATCAGCTTTTTGACGTGATGTAATACGGAGGCATCCTGAATTCCAAGCTTCGCCATCTTCGCCCTACTTCGGGTGCCTGCTGGCAACTGCACGACTTTCCCTGCATCTGGTACCAAACAACTCACGTCGCAGTCCCTCGTGTCCCGTCCTTCAGACCTGTGAAAAGTTTGCGAACGACGCTGACAGAGATCCGAATATCAAGGATCAGGATCCATACGAGGATCCAATAGAAGCAATAAGAAAACTTCGAATTCAGAAGCCGTGCTAAGACATGGAACGGCTCAGGGCCGCTTGTGGCCTTGGGAAAAAGATCCTGAACCCTGCACATCCCTGCACCGTAGGTAGTACTCGCACGGTTCAACAGATTCAACTGCCTCGTTAGCAATCTCAATGCCGAACTCCACACCTGGGCAGTATGTGATGACGGCTTAACATCACGCAGGAAAGAAGGGAGAACAAGGCTTGTCGTCCAAGGCGCTTGTTGAGTTTCCGAGGCCCGACTTCCCAATCAGATCCGGCTACCCAATGTCAGGCAGCCGTCAGGTCTCGAGTACACTCTGCAACTCGGACTCATCCAAACGAGGTCTCTCGGTTCGTGTTCGCACTACACTTCGGGATCAGGTTGACTTCAATGCCAACGACGCCGGTCACCTAACGATCGTTGAACTCGGGCTCAATTTACTGACGGGAGGACGGACGGATTGACCTATATTGCAAAATTGAAGAACAGCCCGAACCATGCAGGCAAGGCTTCACGACAACAGGTCTTTCTGGATCTCGTGCCTTGTAGGGGTCTCGGGCATCTCTCAACCCGACCGGCTGAACGTGATGCTGAACCTTGCCCCCCTGGCAACTCGTCACAGAGCCAAGTTGCAACGGCCCAATGCAACCTCTGATTACAACTGCAGCAAGCAAAATGCTGCTGCAAAAACTGTCTGATTGCCAGCATAACAACTTCAACATGTAAACATGCCTGCCTGACCGCATACGTGCCTACTTGCATGCATACATGATTACCTTCATTTATGTAATTCCATGCTTGCATATATGCATGCATGCATCTATCCATCCGTCCATCCATGCATGCATGCGCCGAGCGCATCTATACCCACTTACCTACATACCTACATGCATAGGCACATGCATACGCAGCAGTACAGCTTCCAGTGAAAGTCGGGCCTTGTGTTGGATTGAAAGCCTAACCCCCATCTAACCGCAGGTCAGATAAGTCAGGTCAAAAGTCAGGCCTTGTACACTCCAGCAAGGAACCGCGTACGCGCGGTGCGAAACGATCCACAAAACAAGGGTCCCAAAGGTATGACTCCCCATGTAACCGCAGCAGTATAGAAGCTAATTTGGCCTTTGCGCAAAAAGAAACACCATGCTACCGCGCGGTTTGTCTAGCTGATTTGTTGGAGTGTTTGGTGGAGGCGTTGGGGTTTAGGGCTCCTGTTCTGAGACGAACCAAGCAAAGGTTTATGGGTTTAAGGCTTAGGGCTGAGAGTTTAAGGTACACAGCCCCACATAACCTGACGCAAAAGTGTTTCCTCTTTCTTCCCCTTCACTTCTTGCTCTTGAGGCTCTTGAGAACGTCTGCTTTGCGGGCGAACCTCTGGTGCATGACATGCTGTAGCGGCTCCAGAAAAATGTGTGGTTAATGGCGCAATGCGCGCAAGCTGCGCGTAAGCTTCGCGTAGGCAGCGCGTAAGCAGCGGTCCCCGTTGCCAACCCAGAGCCCAGCAGTACTTGATCACGTCGCAAGCAGAAGCAAGGTCGCAACGGATTTGTCACATGTACATGCCTGTGTCTGTCTATTCCGTCAGTGGCAGCACGCAACATCAAAGCCAGCCATTCCCCATCTAGACGCTCGATTCCACAAATGCCCAATGGAGACGCACATCAGTGGCAGCACACCACGTCAAAACCGGCCATTCCCCATCTAGACGCTCGATTCCACAAGTGCCCACTGGAGACTCGCATCTGTGGCAGCACACTACATCATCAAAACCGGCCATTCCCCATCTAGACGCTCGATTCCACAAGTGCCCACTGGAGACTCGCATCAGTGGCAGCACACCACATCATCAAAACCAGCCAGTCCCCATCTAGAGCTCGATTCCACAAGTGCCCTCTTGAGACGCACGTCACTGGCAGCACACCACATCCAACCCAGCCATTCCCCATCTAGACGTTCGATTCCACAAGCGCCCTCTCGAGACGCGCATCAGTGGCATGACAGCACATCAAATTCCAGCTATTCCCCGTCTAGACGCTCGATTCCACGTGGAACCATCCGATCGTTCCCAAATAGAAGTGCTTGTTTGAAAGCGGTTTCCCGAGTGTGGACGCTCATCGATGCGTATTTCAACCCAGCGATGCGAGATAAAGCGACCGCTTGTAGATGACGACTATGTTTCAAAACATGTGCTGAATCCCATGTTACCGCAACAAGGCCCGACTTCCTGGCAAGCTTGCCCCCAATGACTGCAGCCACTCACAAAAACAAGGGCCGACTTCCACATGTGGGTGTATACATGTACCAAGACGCAACGTTGATAATCTTATGCTGCTGCATCTTGTCTTGGCTGGACTTCAAGGCAGGGGGCTTGACAGGTGGGGGAGAGGGAGGGGGGTTGAGGGGAGACGGCAGCTCGCCTGCACCCCGGAAGGGCCGGGAGCACGACACAAGCAGGCACAGTGATCGCAGGAGCCCTGGGCCAAGCCCCGAGAACGGTGGCACGAGCAGCTCAAAGCTCAAACGAATCCAGCATGTCTCAAACATGCCAGTCTTGATTGACTCTCTTGAGACAAGAATCACCACCCACATAGTTGCCCGCGAGGTACATTCCTGGGTCTCGTTGAGATAGGAACTACCATTCAAATCAGTGGCCAGAAAATGCTGCTGTTCTTCGCATCTCTGAATGTAGGTAGACTACTGCGTTGTTAACATGCAACCATCCCTCGCACGGTGCCATGATCTGCGAATCCGAGGCAGCATGCAAAAGGCTTGGGCACTACCGCTGCGGGCCAGTGCCCTTTCCAAGCAAGCTAGGTAGTGAATCAAACCCGCCACGGTTGCCAAGATGCCCTTCACGCCGGCATCGGCAAGGCTCTCTTTCACGTCTGCTAAGCGCTTGTTGTGGCCAATCTGCGAGCAACGGATACGGCACGCGCGGTGACACGTTGGCTTTTGAATGTAGGCTCTGGCATAGGTGAAATAAGACGTGTATATATGCATATTAAAATATATATATATATGTGCATGCGTACACTGCATACATCAACGTATTGGCATATGTGCATGCAGCATGGGACTTGAATCGACATATCCCTCGCTGCCCATCCTTGACAATGCCCAAATGCCCTGTATTAGCAGTCCGTGCTTCCTGTAAAAAACATTTCCGCTCAGACTGCAGATGCGGCAACATCCGTCCAAACCCTGAAACTGCTCACCTCCAACTGCGGGATCGCACGATCCCAGACGCGGACGCCCAATGCTGCGGGCAGGTTGTTGGCCTCGTCACGGGTACGAGTCCATGCCATGCATGCCCCAGCACGGACTTAGATGTGCGTTTGGCTTGCTTCTATGATGGCCATACGGACAGGTGCACTCATATCGGTCGCCATCAGCAATCTCATCGTTCCCGCATCCATGTCAAGCCATTCACAGCATCCATGTGAGCTTAGTTCAAGACTAACCGATCTATCGCGGATCAAAACTCAACTCTTGAAGGATGGAGGAAGAAAAAAGGTTCTGACTCACGGATATACATTGGATAACCGTCCGCTGAACCGTAAAGCCTCTAAGCTCTAAACCCCAAACAGCCCCAAACCCATAGATCATAGACCCTCTTGGATTTAGCTCCCTTTCTTACTCGGCCTCGGTCGGGTGGAGCATGGTCTGCACGGTGTCGCGATGCGTCGCCTGCAGAGACTTACCTTCAAATCTAGGGGAGGCGGGTTACTTTGGGTTTGGGGCCCTGGGGTCTAAGACTAGGGGTTTAGGAGTTTAGGGTTTAGAGATGTTTAGAGTTTAGAACCCTCAGCACTAGATAAAAACCCTCAAGCATCGAAGCCATCAAAGACTTAAAGTGCAAAGCTGAGTCTAACTCTTAGCTCGGTGGTCTCCGTCTTAGCCAAATTGATACCTGTCTCAGTCATTGGGGCGTATGCAAGAAGGCGGCGTGCAAGATAAGCGAGAGCATATATGTTTCGACACCCACACCTCCCCTACAAATGTTGTACTATACCGGCCTAGATCAGTGAAGCGCAAGGCTGGCAACATGCAGACGGTTTGTCCCTAATTAGATCGTTGCCCTCGTGCAATCCAACACAGCAGGCTCTTTTGCTGTTCGCAGCGGCGGCCCCCGGTTGGAAAATCATGACAGCCGGTCGAACTCTCAGTAGGCACACTGCACAACGAGATCGCTCTGGAAGCATTGCAGCATTGCCGTCTACGCAGCCGGGGGACTTGGCAGCTACATTTTGCTTTGGATGATATAGGATGACTCATCGCGATGATGTTCGTCCTACAATCGCTCTGCCTTTAAGTCCACCGCTGCCATTAGCCTCTCTGCCCTTCTAGTCTGCCTCTGAGATATCACCATCCTCGTCTGGGCGACCACCGCCTAGCGAAGCATAGACCTTCCACGCTTGGGGTTGCACAACACCGTGCTGCCCTGGGTTTGCCCGGAATCCGGAAAGGAACTTAGCATCCAGCCTGAAATTGTCCAAGACCTTCTTCTTCTTCTTACCATTATTACCACCATTATCACGATTCTGACTCTTCTTCTTCTTGTTGCTAGTACTGCTCACATTGACGAGGACCGAAGAGTCTCCGCAAGCAACACCGTGACCAGCAGCGATTCCAGCCACATGCTACCGTCATATTCTGATGATCCCAGTGGAAGGGAAGCTGACAATGGCGATGACTATGACTTTTTGAAATCTTTGGGTGTTCTTGCATGATTGCAACAGTTCCTTACACCGGTGCCAATGCACGAAGAAGAAGACAGCACAAGGTCCACCATAAGTTATCTTATGGCAAACCTTTTGGCTAGTATGTCAACATCGGCGACATGCCACATCACATGTGTTACCCGGCCGACTGGTCCCAAACTACTTCGACAGGGCAACTACTCTAGTGCATGGAATTTCATCAGTATTCTTCTGAATGATGAAGGCCGCATTACTGATAGACATACCTTTATAAGATTTTCGGGCAGCCACGCATTGGAAATCAGCAAAACAATTATATATTTGGCATTCCTGATGCGTTTCCGGTGGTTTTTTTGGCATTCCGATTTGGCGTTTTTTGGCGGCGAGATGTTGTTGGCGTTTTTTTGGCGTTCCGATTTGGTGTTTTATTTGTGTTGGGATTGTGACGGCACTTTTTAGGAGTAGCCTGCGGCATGATTCCTCATCCCCTAGACATCCTGGTGAGGCGGAATGCCAATCTGGACACGAAGACTTTCCAGGAACACCACGTTGGACCAAACGACGACATGGTCACGCCTCCTCCGCGTGGCTCCGCACCGCCGGGTCATCATCGCCCAGAAAGCGGGCTGCGTGCGCTGGAGAGGCCTTCATTTTCTCCAATGCTGCCACAGCACTGCGCCGGACCTGCTTCAGACCGCACTGCTCTCCAAGCCATGTTGGCAAGTTCGGCTTCTGATGCAACTACACTTACCGGACTTACCGCTGGGCAGCAGCCCGCTATCTTGCTCAGGCACTTATCCGAACTAAACCAGTGGGAACCTGAAGGCTTGTAAAATATTTGGTCAGGCTTTCTTCTTCAGTTCCATGTCTCGGACTGGATCTCCGGCCCGTCCTGGTTGTTCTCATCCTGGGACAAGGCCGCAACCTGTTCGGAAAAGATGTCCATGTGCCTGGCTTTCACGCAACTCGGAAGCTCTCCTATGCCATACTTCGAATGCAGCTGCAGGATATGGGATCTTTTTGAAAGGTCGAGGAGCAGATCGCCCAGAGCCACGACCACTGCCAAGCGCACGTGCCAATCCTCATCCAACCTGTTTGGGATGCCCCAGATCCAGCAGACTGGAAAATGGGCTACGGGAAATACCTAGAATCGTCGGAAGGCTCCCGATAATCGGCCATCCGCCAAAGCATTTTAGATTCTAGAAGACAGCCCAGCCGCAGCAGCTGTGCAACTTGGTGTATGTGAGCCCGGGCAACACTCGAGGGCAGCTTGGAGTGCAGCGGACTGAACCTGGGTCGGGCGCAGCAGGATTTCAGTTCTTGAGGTCTGCCATGAATTAAACCCGAAAACAAGAAAACAAGAAACTGTCACAAGATCAGAGAGGAAACCCTAAACCCAAAAACAGAAAGTCTGAGAGAAAGCGCAAGCAACACCTTGACTGCCGACTGTCTCACACCAGCGTCCTCGTCTTCGAGGAAGATGAGCGCTGACGAAGCCCCCCGCTCGCCCATTTTTGCCAAAGCTGATACAGCTGCGATCCTAACCCCAGCAGCAGGGTCCTTTCGGAGCTGCTCAAGCCGTGGCGCATAGTCCTCGGACTTGAGCCCGGAAAGAGCTTGGATTGCCGCGAGTCGGGTGGCCAAGTCTGCGTCATCAAGGCAGGCAGCCACAGCAGCAGCGTGATCTCGACCTGCCTTCATCTTTCCCAAAGCCTGCAGTGCAGACTGGCGCTGAGTCGAAGTCGCTTGCGCTTCCGTCAGGGACTTTGCCGTGACCTCTGCAGCAAGGGCATCGTCGAGGCCTCCCATCGTTTCGGCGGCAAAATGCCTGAGGCTGTCGTCCGGGTCACGGAAGAATCGCACCAGGTAGTCGGCAGCCAAACTTCCAAGTCGGCCCAAGGCCTGCACCGCGGCTCTGCGCACTTTCACATGGCGATCAGCAGAAGCAGATGCCAGGGCTCGCAAATGCTCCTCCGCACACTCAGCACCCAGCTCGCCACAAGCCTGTGCTGCGGCCATGCGGACTGCTGTGTCTTTGTGGGATAAGGCACGTGAGAGGCAGCCAGCATTGGCTGTGCGTGCCATGGGGCAGCGGCCGATCTCCATGATGGCTGCTTTTGCAACTGTTGGGAATGTGGATGATGTGAAAGGGGCAAGCACCCGGGCCTGGCCTACAGCTACAAGGCAGGACACCGCAGCAAGACCAACCTCTTCATCAGCATCTTGGTGCAAGGCGACCACCTTTGAGACATGAGGTGACACCACCTTGGCGCTGACTTGGCCCAAGGCGCGAGCAGCCTCACACCGGACTTCAGCATCCGTGTCTCGGAGTGCAGCCAGCAGTGCAGATGTCTCCGACGATGCCCGCATTTTGCCCAGTGCCACGGCCGCTGCTTTCCTCACCGCTGCCTCCTCGTCGTCGAGGCACTTGGCCACTTGATCCGAATAAACATCTGCTGAGGGCCCACAAAGCCCCAGGGTCTGGAGTGAAAACTTGCGTGTGTTCGTGTCCCAGCTAGTAAGCTGGTCTGCTGCAGACTCCATGGTCTCTTGCTCCTTGTCCCGCTCCGCATAGCCCCCTCCCTGACCCGCACGACCATTGCCGGAGCCATTGCGGTACATGGAAGATATTGGAAGGGTGGCAGAAGGAATGGGTCTTCTGCACAATGCGGTCAGGTCCTGCAAATAGTTACTAGGACTTGGCGAGATCACACGGCTTTCAACTAAAGCCGTTGCTTGCTTCACAAACTTACTTCGGCACATCATGATTGCAGAGCAAACGGAGGCGAGCTCATGTCATGTTCAATGACTCAGAGCTCAAAGACCTTTCCGCAAAAAACAGGTGTGTGATGGTGGGTGTGTGTGTGTGTGTCTGTCTCTGTCTGTCTTTCTGTCTGTCTGTCTGGCTGTCTGCCTGCCTGCCTGCCTGCCTGTCTGTCTCTGTCTGTCTGTCTGTCTGTCTGTCTGTCTGTCTGTCTCTGTCTGTCTGTCTGTCTGTCTGTCGGTCTGTTTCTCTGTCTGTCTCTCTGT